CATGGCGCTCATGGCCCGTGACTGCCGCACCCACTGCACTCACCGATGGCAAAGATATTTTAGCGCCATGCTGGCTGGAGTCTGGAGTCAGAGTCAGGTTTGTTTGACTTGTTTGACTCACACACGAAAAAATCTGTTGCGGGGCACACCAGGACATGCACTGATCATGCACTGTTCAATCGCTCATGCGAACTTCGATATGATCGCCGATATGCCTTTATGCTCAGACACAGCACGAACGACAATGTAAACATGATAAAGAATGACGTTGACGTAGGTTGTAGTGCACATCAACGCCTGCCACTGCCACCGGCCCGGGCCTGGCACCGGGAACCGGGAACGCCATGTCCAATTCCAGCACTGCAGACTGCAAAGTTCAGACACACTACGAGGCTATGCGGCCTATGCCTGCAACCCAACCTACTCTTCCAAGCTTTTAAGAACTGGACAGAAGCATGCACAGCACAAGCCATCTTGATGGCAGCACTGCGGCACAAAAGACGATCATACAGAGATGAGAGGTCCACTGGTCCAAACTGATGTCACAGAGAGGCACATGTTCTAGGCTTTCTAGGGATAGCAAGCATTGAAGGACATATGTCGAAAACCTCCATCGTGTACTGGAAAAAATCTCTTGGATTGTAGCAACAGGCTGCCCAAACTTGCCACTTCAGAGCTGTCTCACTGCATCGCCTTTCGTCCATCCTCCTTGGCGGCCTTCTTGGCTTTCGGACGCTGATTCTCAAGCAACGCCATGTCCTCCTCGTGCTTCCTCTTTTCTGCCTCCTTAGTCCTGGGATCCTCGCGCTTGTCCTCCTCCTCCTGCTTCCTCTTTTTGGCCGTCATCCTTGCCTCCTCCTCCTGCCTTTTCTTTTCTGCCTCCTTGGCTGCCACTTCCTCTGCCTTCTTTCTCGTCTCCTCCTCCTGCTTCTGCTTTGCTTCCTCGCGCTTCTCCTCATGTGCTTTCTTTCTCTCCTCCTCCTGCTTCCTCTTTTCTGCCTCCTTGGCGCTGGCTTCCTTGCGCTTCTCCTCTTCCTCTGCTTTCTTGATTTTGTCCTCCTCTGCTTTCTTCCTCGTCTCCTCCTCCTCCTGCCTTCGCTTTTCTGCCTCCTTGGCCGCCGCTTCCTGTGCTCGCTTGCGCTTCTCCTCCTCCTCCTCTGCCTTTTTTCTCTCCTCCTCCTCCTGCTTCCGCTTCTCTGTCTCCTCGGCTTCCTGCTTCCGCTTCTCTGCCTCCTTGGCTGCCGCTTCCTGTGCTTCCTTGCGCTTCTCCTCCTCTGCCGCCTCTGCCTTCTTTCTCTCCTCCTCCTGCAGCTTCCTCGTTTCTGCCTCCTTGGCTCGTGCTTCCTCTGCCTTCTGTCTTGTCTCCTCCTCCTGCTTCTTCTTTTCTGCCTCCTTGGCACTCGCTTCCTCTGCCTTCTTTCTTGTCTCCTCCTCCTGCTTCCTCTTTTCTGCCTCCTCGGCACTCGCTTCCTCTGCCTTCTTTCTTGTCTCCTCCTCCTGCTTCCTCTTTTCTGCCTCCTTGGCACTCGCTTCCTCTGCCTTCTTTCTTGTCTCCTCCTCCTCCTC